CCTACATCTACACTCAGGGCCGAGACGACTATGCTGAGCGCTGGCTGGAATAAACGCGACTGAGGTAGATAAATTGGGGGCTTCCACAGTGCTATCCACGATGCGTCTCTGTGGTGATGGTGCAGACTAAGCAGTAGAGGTAGCAGCATTATTCTTGGAGATCGTGGAAACATCGTGCATAGCGGGTTTGAAGACCCCATCTCCAATCCCACACACAGGGTCAGGACGACTGGTAAACGAAGGCGGGAAAACTCGTCTGTGGTGGGGGGACTAGGGGCTGCCATGGAGTTAACATCATTGCGTCCCAGAGTTATTCTGGTAAGTGATGAATCATGGTTGACCATTGTAGCGCTGAAACCGGTGAACGAGTCAGGAATTGATCTGGTTGTTAGGAATTGATCGGACTTGCCTGCTGTGTACGGTCGGAAGACCACGTCTCCAAGCTCACACACAGGGTCGGGACGACTGATGAACGACGGCTGCAGAGGCACGACTGTGGTGAGAGGATCGGTGGTTTCCAAGATGCTGACATCACTGCGTCCCAGAGTAGATGAATGTTGTGTAGAATGCCCATTTATTCGAGTAACGTTATCATTGTTGGAAGCGTAAAGTGGCTCAGAAGATGGAGGTTTAGGTATGTTACGATACTTGCCTGTGGGTACAGGCTGGAAGACTTCGTCACCATTACCGATCGCAGGGCCAGGACGACTTCGGTTGATTGGATCTTCTAACGGCTCGACCGCTTCGGGTGGGTCAGAGGCTTCCAAAGCGCTGTGTTGTTGCATCCCAGGTCCTCTCATCAGTGCGTCGGTCTTCGAAATGGAAGTATCCTGATACTGCTGTCGATGTTCCGGACCAATTCGAGCGATTTTGGTGACTTTCTTCGACCGAGAATCATCGAAATCTCGGAATTGAATACCCACTGGCCACGAATCGCAGGAAAGGGCAACCTCCCGTTTATTTTTTTATTAACGCCAACTTTGAAGGAAACGTAGTTCAATGTGGATGGATCTATTCCTCTGGGAACCAATTTTGTAACCCGTGGTTTCTCGTGTTTCTCCAGACCCAGACACTCAGAGACGAGAGATGAAATTCCGTCATTCGTAGTACTGGGATGGAATGCAGAAAAGTACACCCACACCATCATTCAAGTCAACGGTTCTGATGGAGTCGATTGAAGCTTTTTTTCCCACATAGTATGGGTTTGTTGTCAGAGCTAGACGAAGTACGGCGACGTTTTGGGGAATGGCAGTATTTGTATAAATGGTGACACAGTTGGATGACACGATCAAACTGGACTGATTGCCTAAACCAACAAGTACAATTAACCTCGAGCAATATATTTTACAGTAACATAAAAGCCAATTCATCAAATACCTACCAATCGTACCGAACAAACACAATCCCCTGCAGCTTTTACTCACAAATCTACAACACACCCAAGCCATCCGCATCCATTTTCAAATGAACTGTGTAACGCTAGATAAAAGAGGAATTAGTTCCAGAGAGCAACAAATCTGCGAGTTATCAATATCGATTCATCAAAATATAAAGAAAAAAAAACTTAAACGGATTTATAAATGGCTACGGTACCGATTGCTTGGATATGAAATCATGCTGAAAACACCGAGTTCGACTCACAGGTTGGAAACAACTCAATGACCACCAAGCTGTGAACCGGCGAATGTTCCTGTTGGTGCGTAATAGTCAAGAATAAGAAGATTATCCCGGCTCCTAAAGCAATTCAACATTTCACCTAGCCTCGAGTGACGCTTCGTTCCCGCATTCATAAGCAATTGTCAGTTAGACTGGATAAGCGCAAAAAGTGGTTAAATTGAAACTTATTCTATTGAATTGAATGCCTCCTCGAGGATGCCGGATTCTGGACTCAGTGGAACAGAACAAAGGGGGGAGGGGAAGGATGGGTAGCTTTTCCAGCAGGGTGAGCAATTAATTCGCTCATCGGCATCGGTCACGCTTCACTGGTCGCACTCACACCAGTCAGCAACGCAACGGAATCAAATCGGTCTCTCCGAACCGGATAAGGCAAAAAGCTCGGACGAGACTCATCACTCGGGAGATGCAACCAACCAGCTCTCAACATTCCCGGAAAAGCAGAGGACGGAGTAACAAATGATAAAGGAAAAATAGCGGAAAACATTTGAACGTAGCTGCCGACCGACCGACTGACTGGCAGGCCCCCATTTCTATGCTGATTTAATTAAAATTCATTCTCTAATCAGATTAACCGATCGCGTGAAATGGCTCTCGCTGCTGCGAGTTTCCGATCAAATCAATTTTCAATTTATTGATTATCATTAGTCGGAGTGGATTCGATGGGGCAGAGTTGATTTTTACGGAGCTGTTCTTTCCATCCCCATTGTAAAATGTAGAATCAACAAAAGGAGCAACAACGTCAATTTTCAAATTGGGTAAAATCGAATGAGGGAATTATGCATTCAGGGATGATGATTTCTTGTAAATCGGGTGGTCATCAGGGACTCTTGTTCTCCGGTGCTTGTCAGTTTATGTTGATTAAATTTTACTCAAAGGACGCTGCAGGTGAGGGACAGGAGCTATGGTTAAATCTCATTTAGTAAGCTAAGTACGATTTTTGCTTTCAGAACCTTTTACCTGGTAGAGGAAGGCTAAAAGACAACACGACGAACAATAACTCACATAAACACTCAGGTCAGCCCATGAGTACAATCGCTACTAGTGGCAGCCCCAGCATCAATTTATGCAAATTAATGGCCTTACTGGTTCGCCAACATTCGGTTTATTTTCCAAATATTTCCCGTCCTTACTTAGGGTCATTTAATATCCGTTATCTGCGCCAAATGGAACCGAGACCTGCTGGTGTAGGATGATGACCAACGTGCGCAAACGAGACCACAAAAGAGGCTTAGAAATTTTAGCACTGCGGCCAACCGTCCCCACCCACATGTATGATAAATTCGTAACATGATCCGTTGATTTTCGGAATGCGTGTCCATTTTAGGTTCCGGCAGTGTGGCAGCGGGTATTACGGTGATACATTACAAACAACCAGTGCCGGATGGCTTTGGCTGGGAGGGCAACTGTTCCGGTGATCATTCGGGATGTTTGTCCGTTTTCTTTTTCACAAAAGTGGCCCGGAATCAACCGAAAAAGAACCGGCCGAGCAGCAGAGCACTCAAAGCACTTTCACCATGTGAGAAGAAAAAATATTGAACACACGAAAAAGCAAGACCTCGGCAAAAGCGTCACGCACCAGGGACGTGTCTCATCATCGTTTGTCGGTAGCCGCACCAGCAGGATCGAAGCACATTGTCGCGCGAGAAGAGTATCCATGTGGCATGGTCCACGATAGTGGGTTCGTACTAATTGAAAGGCCACAGGCACACCGCAAAGCACAACGATGACGACCACTTTCATCTGACCGGAATTGGAGGAAGTCATGTGTGGGCACACAAATTGCCGTTTCGGAAGGATTGTACTCTTTTTTTTTTTGAGTGAAAGTGGATTTTATTTGGTTGAGAATTTGCATAATGGTTCCCTTGCTCGCGGTTGGATACTTAGTTGGCCTTGCTACTGTTAACCTTCTGCCAAGATGTGCTTTATGGTTTTTTTTTTTGTCGTGTTGTATAATTATTAGTGATGTTTTCGGTACGATATGGTAGGAGTGGAACAATTTGCAAATATGATAGTCAAACTGGAGATTTTTTTTAATTATAGGACACAATGGGTCGAAGTGTCTGCGAATGTTATAAGGGGAACTGGGGGTAAGCCCGGTCCCTTAAGCATTAGGATTGTTTAAAATTACAAGTGAGCTTGCTGTAATTTCCATACAAAATATTCATTCGGATAGCTCTCCATACGATCTTAGATAATTAAAACATAGATTGCTCAGTCGGGCATCCCTGCTTTTACTCGAAAAGTAACATTGATAGCGCGCTATATGTTGGCCAACGGGTGAGCTAAAAGTTTAGCAGCCGAAATGGGTGCGCATTTTGAATCAAAACTGCCCAGCGTAATGTTAATTTTTTGGATGGCACATTCCACGTGTGAAGTGGAAAATTGAAATTGTTTATGCCACATCGGTTTTGTTTTGCTTTTTATTAGCTGTGTTCAATCTTAAGTGGTGGAGAAATATTGTCAATAATAATGATAATGTACAACTGTATTGTCATGAATATCGTCAACCTCTATACATTCCGATTCCGAATCGCTAAATTGAAAGTCAACATCCATCGAACTAATGCCATCTAAACGTAAAATTTGGCTCGCAACTTTCCGATTTAAAGACGGAGCAGCTAATTCCTTAGTTTTGCAAAGCGGAATAATGAGGTCGTCATCCTGATCGCTGCAAATAACCGACTCTTTCGAGAATTTCATAACACCGCAGACGTTAATCCATTTCTCTAAGTCTCTTGAGCTGAATCCCAAGAAAATATCATTCAAATTTTCATCCAAAAACAACAGCTAGGGAAACACCATTTTTTTCACTTGAAGCTTGTGAAACGTTTTTGAACTTGGACTGGAAGCAGCTCTCGTACAATTTTGAAACTCCCATCGTCGAAGCCCTATTTTGGTTTCTGGTATGAATCATTGTTGTTTCAGATAGAAATCGGTACTCAAAGTGTTTGTTCACGCAAATGCAGATATTTATACACGTTAATCACAAATTACTCTGCACGCTATAATTAAATAAGCCGTATATAGCTAATGTTTACTCAAATTGGGCGCAATTTGGACGAACCAAAACATGGGAAAATTTATGTCAATTTTGCATAAAAATAAATCATATACGTTGGCCACACTGGCCTGAGCACACCTACCGTTGGAACCTACTTGTGTCGGAACACCCCTGCAGTGGGTTCGGCAGCGAAGTGACAGCGGAGTGACAGATATCGATCTGTCACACCGGGTGAGTAGAGGAGAAAAACAACCGAGAACAAAGCAAAACAAGTGTAAAAGTAAATTCATCGCTCTCGTTATTCTTAAAATTATCTAGTAATCTAGTGAACTTAATTATAGTTGAACTTAAAGCTAATGTGATTAGTCACTACTAGGTTTATCTTATATCTACACACTAAATTAGGTAAGTTTAATACAATTAAACTTAGCTTAAATGTAACTAAAAACTATGCTTACGCACTAGGTAACCTAAACCTATCATTGAACACCATACACTCTACTCCGTGAAACCCGTAGCCACTGGTATCGGTAAGAAGTTAAAGCAAAAGTATGTATAAAATGTATATCGATGATCTTACTTACAATTACCTAAACTAGGGCTTACAACTAAACACTTCGACGGCATCACGCTAGACAACACCCGAAATTATACTAAAAGGAAACTAAACGTAAGTCACAAAATTATAATCTACACTTACAACTAGGACTAAAATTAGGTTGAGAACATAATGATAAACAATGTCATGTACACTCTACCTACATTCCAACCTTAAGCAATATCAAGGCCACATAAATATATATATAGACTAACTAATTCCAATTGAAATTGTCGTTATCTAACACAGGAAATTATATTCTCGATATCACCGGATTATACGTCTTTTATTCGCTTCCGGTCGAGAATCATAGTATCAGAAACTTCCCGTTGAAACTGAATTTCAACATCATATAATTTCGTTTATTGAAACGGTACGGTCGGTCAAGCGAAGTGGCAGTAAATCCGATGCAACGGATGCCTTTCGAAGTGGATCTACTGAAATTGGAGTGATGAAAGGAGTAAATGCTACTGGTGGTGATGGTGGTGGTAATCCGGATGTGGTGACATTGGAGGAAACTGTGGAAGGACATACCTGCAGAACGTGTCAAGGTTCTGATACCGACGAAATGGTCCAGTGCGACGTATGTGATGGATGGCACCACTTTTCATGTGTAGGCATATCGGAGGAAGTTGCCGACAAGAGCTGGAGTTGTACAAACTGCGTGACTGCGAAATGGATCCAGCGAACTAAGGCAGCTTCGGATGGAGCACCTAGAAGGGATGACGTCATTCAACATCGGAGATCGCTGCAAGATCTAAGCATCGGGAAGATCGTGACAAGTAACCGTGGCAATCCAGTGATTCCTTCAGTTTCAGCATCACAAAAGTCAGCTAAGTCGTTGACAGTTCCGTCAACCAGTCAGCAGCCAGCGCCTTTAGACTCAGTGTTTTGTCAACCAAAGCAGAAGTCATCGTTGCCTGGCGTAGATGTGCCAGTAATCGTTGCAGAGGAGGCGTTTTCCGAGATTTCCATATCCTCTTCACAAAAATCTGCGAGAAACCGCGCCAAGCTTCAGCTGATGAGATTGCAGGAAGAACGAGCATTTCAGCAGCAGTAAGAAGAGCGCCGAAGACTCGCTGAGGAAAAGGCAGCCCAGGAGTATAAGGAATATCTGGACAACAAGTATAAAATTCTGGAGGACCTGGCGAGCAAAAAAGGATCGAGTCGGAGCTCTAACTTCTCTCGTCGTCGGGTTGAAGAATGGGTGCAAACAACTAACCCTGCACCCTTAGAGATAGCCAAACCCGTCACTCAGGAACAAGCCCGTGAACATAACGGCTTGCAAGAACAGCTACGTCAAGAGCAGCTTTAGGAGAAACAACAGCACCAGGAAACAGCCTTTCAAGAGCAACAACGGCAACAACGGTCGCACGCAGAACAGCTACAAAAGCAGCAACAGAAGCAGTTGGAGCGAGAGCAAAAATTTCGGCAGTTTCAACAGCATCAGCGGCAGGAGCAAATACGCCAGGAGAATCTTTTGCTACAGCAACAGGAAGAGTTAAAGAAGGAAGCGGATGCCATCAATCGAATGTGGGAACAGCAGTTGGAAAAGGAGAAAATTCTACGCGATCAACAACAACAGCTAGCGAATGGTCAAAGGGTCATGCGACGACCGGAAAATATAATTCTGTCCAACCAGATGCCAGATCCACAACTCAACCCCCCCACCGGAGAATATGGAAGAAGGGTTCTGCAGAGAGTCGATACGTAGGCATCCTGGTCAATTCCTACCAGATGCCCTACCACAGTCGACGCAGCTTCATCCGATAGAATTGGATTACCCGCATAGGTCAGCTGCGAATCCTATCGATAGACAGAGTAGGAGGCATTCAATAAACTCTTCTATTGTGGATGATGATGACCAGTTCCAGCTTTCCCGCTCTCAAGTTGCAGCACGACAAGCAGTCTCCAAAGATTTACCTACGTTTTCGGGCGATCCCGAGGAGTGGCCAGTTTTCATATCCATGTACAATCGAACGACTACGATGTGCGGATTTACGGAGGATGAAAACATAGTTCGACTACAGAAAAGCCTGAAAGGAAGAGCTTATGATGCTGTCAAAAGTCGGCTGATGCATTCCGGAAACGTACCTGGCATTTTATCAACATTGAAGATGCTGTTTGGTCAGCCCGAAGTAATCATACAATCGCTGATTCGTAAGGTGGGCTCTTTATCGCCAATCCGGGAAGACAAGCTGGAAACGCTAGTGGACTTTGCGGTGAACGTTCAAAACTTCTGTGCCACTGTAGACGCGTGTGGACTGCAGGAGTACATGTATAATGTCACTTTACTACACCAGCTTGTCGGAAAGCTACCACCGTCGCTTAAACTCAACTGGGCACAGCATCGACGAACACTGTCAACGGTCAACCTGGCGACCTTCAGTGAGTGGATTTATGGCTTGGCGGAAGCAGCGAGTGTTGTTGTATTCCCCTTGGTGGTTCAAGACGAGAAGCCAACTCCAAATGCACACGGGAATAAGAAAGGAAACACGTACCTTAACGCCCATTCTGAAACCTTTCATCCTAAAAAGAATTACAGCAGCGACTTCGAAGAATCACCTACGGCAGAATCAACATCGTACCAGGAAGCCTGCCCAATCTGCAGGAGAAGTTGCAAGTCGGCTGATAAGTGCAATCGTTTTCTGGAGCTCTCTAGAGAATCGCGTTGGGCCGCCGTAAGGGAATTTGGCTACTGCCGTACATGTCTGCGCATCCATAAAGGATACTGCAAAGCAAAACCGTGTGGCAAAGACGGATGCACCTACCGGCACCACGAGCTGCTGCACAACGATTCGAAGGACAAGCCGAAAAGCACCGGAACTACGGCCAGGCGTGAGCAATCTCCGCAACCCAGCACTAGCAAGTCTGGATGCAACACCCATCAGACAACCGTCAGCTCAGTATTGTTCCGTTATCTCCCAGTAGTGTTGTACGGAAACAAGAGAGCAATACGCACGTATGCATTCTTAGATGAAGGTTCTGCATTAACGCTGCTCGATCAGGAGCTTGCTAACGAGCTTCAGCTTGATGGCACTGTAAGCCCTCTGTGTCTCCGGTGGACTGGAGGAACTGAACGACACGAGGCGGATTCTCGCATCTACAATCTTCACATTGGTGGTGTTAAGAACAAAAGCAAGAAATTCCTCTTGAGTGACGTGAGGACGGTGAAAGAGCTACTGTTGCCCCAGCAAACGATGGACATGGCTGAGTTGTCACAGTTGTATCCACACCTCCAAGATCTGCCGATCGAATCTTATCGCGACGCTCGTCCACGCATTCTTATAGGGATGAAGCACGCCCAGCTCAGTCTTGGCCTGAAAAATCGTGAAGGGGGAATCGGTCAACCAATCGCTATAAAGACACGCCTCGGATGGACGGTATGCGGAGGATGGGGTTCCGGGAACGACGCCAACCTACACCATTACACCTTCCACGTTTGCCCCTGTAGTGTGAAGTCAGACGAGGACTTGCACCAGGCTATGAAGGACTACTTTTCATTAGACAGTCTCGGGGTGGCTAAATCGGAGAAGGTGCTTTTATCCGTTGAAGATGAACGAGCATTTTCATTGCTTCAGTCGCTGACCCGTCGTAAAGATAATCGATACGAGTCCGGATTGCTGTGGCGATACGATGACACCCGATTGCCAGACAGTCGATCAATGGCGCTGCGTCGGTTGCAGTGCCTAAAGAAATGGATGGAGAAAGACCCGGAAATGTCAAAGAACCTGCAATCAAAGATAACCGAGTATGTGGAGAAGGAGTACATCCGGAAGCTTACAGACGAAGAAATCAACCAGAAGATTCCACGACGCTGGTATTTGCCAATTTTTCCCGTAACCAACCCAAACAAACCTGGGAAGGTGCGAATTGTGTGGGACGCAGCAGCTATCGCTCACGGCATGTCCTTGAACTCAGCGCTGGTAAAAGGACCGGATCTGTTGAGCTCACTTCTCGCAATTCTACTTCAGTTTCGGGAACGCCGCATCGGACTGACTGGTGATATCCGTGAAATGTTCCACCAGGTACTGATCCGAGCCGAAGACCAGTTATGTCAGTGTTTCTTCTGGATAGACGACCATGGAGCCATAGTAGTGTACGTGATGCAGGTTATTTTTTTTTTTATTATTACTTTATTTGTACAGGCTCAATCGAATAAACTTTACAGAGCCGATTTATCCTTTGCGTTATACATTATTACTGTCTTAAATTTAAAGTTAAAGGAACTGGACCGAGTACTCGCGGTTGTCTCGAGGTTAGTGGAGATTTACAATTTTTTGGATGGGAAAATGGAAGAAGGAGGTATGAAATGTGGTTTACGATACAACTATTTAATTAATCCTAAAGCATGAAGTTATTTCTATTCATCTTGAAAACAAACATTGAAAAAAAAAAACCCCACACGTACAAAATACAAACTAAACACAAGGTTAATCAAACTTACAATCTAAGGTTAATATCCTTAAAGTAAACATATATGAGTTTCATAAACTCCAGATCGCGTCTAGCCAAAATATCCCGAACTGGAACATTAGGTTGTCTACCTCGAGCCCGAAGGGAATCATAAAAATGTGATCTGACTCCACGATACTCCGCACAAGACCAAAGGATGTGATCAGCGTCCTGGTAACCTTGTCCACATTCACAGAGATTGCTGTCTCCCAACCCCACACGGAACAAGTGAGCGTTTAGACAATAGTGATTGGACATGAGACGAGACATCACGCGTATGAAGTCTCGACTCAAGTCCAACCCTTTGAACCATGCAAACTTCGACACCTTAGGGATAATTGAATGTAGCCATCGTCCCAAGCTCCCTTCACTCCATTGATGTTGCCAGCTAACGAGCGACTGCTGACGATAAATAGAGAAAAATTCACTATAGGCGATCTGTCGATCATAAATGTCGCCTTCCATAGCGCCCACCTTCGCAAGTGAATCCGCCTTCTCATTGCCCAAAATTGAGCAATGCGAAGGGACCCACGCGAAGGTGATGATGAAAGAGCGCACGGATAAAGTACTAAGCAGTTCTCGTATTTTCAAGAGAAAATACGAGAAGTGCTTTACCGGCCTAATGGAACGGATAGCCTCGACAGAACTGAGACTATCCGTAAAAATAAAGTAGTGGGCTGGAAGAAGTGAAGCAATAGTTTCCAAAGTGTAGTGAATT